TGAAAAAATAGCTTTTTCATATGTTTTACTAATTGATCGGCAAAAATTACGTAGACTTTTGTCCAGTGAGTGTATATGGCACGCTATAGTTCTCGGAAAGTAGTGTTCCACAATTTTTTCGAGTACTGTTGTGTTCATAATCTGGTTGCAAACAACTGTGCAATCTATCGCAACAGCATGTACAAATCTATATTCTAGTGGTGAACCGTATGACGATGCAATGTATCTTTTTTTTTTTTTGACTTTGACTAGATGTGACCCCGGAGCGGTCATAAGAGAGATTAAAGTGATTATCGGAAGCAACGGTGATCGTCTTACGTCTATATTACCACGATGAGATTCGGCAGCCCAATTCGATTGTCAGTATAGCGCGCTATTTGCAACATTCAAAGTCGATGTCATGGTACATATAAGTAAATGCGTCAAGAATGAGTCAAGTTGGCTTGATCAATTCAGAAATCTTTGTTGGAGTTCTAGATTAATACTTGTAAAAAATATATATTAGTTTTTCCTATATAATTCTAAAAATTTGCGCTTTTGTCTATCCCCGACAATTCTCGACTAAAACACTGCTTCCTCTATGTTCATACAGTCCCATTCCATTCATGATCTGCATCCAACATTATCATCCAATGTCTTTTATAATCAACTCATCACTAAGAAAGCACATCCACTCATATCATGTATCTTCGCCAATATGAAACGTTCCCTTTCTGATACACTCGCGTTGTTTTCTTAACCAAGTTCGATACTCCTGGACAGACTTGATTTTCTCGCCGTAATAGTCCGGTGCAGGATTACGCAACGAGAATAGAGAAGGATCGGCACGGTTTCGTTTTATGTGTTGATAGAATTCACGATCGCGCTGAATTTAATAATGTATAAAACAAAAAAAATTATACAACAGATCGGTTATCGCGAGAAGCGAGGGGAAAACTCGAGTTGAAAAGATGCAGGCATTCGAATCATAGAACTAGTACACACTCGTCTGCTCTAACTTGTCTCCCATCCTCGTTATAGTCGCCCAATTATTACAACTCTACCGTTTCGAAGCTCACCTCTTCCATTAATTTAACGTCTTCTCTATGTAACAACTTCCATACTGAACTTCCAATAATCGGTCCTATCAACACTCCTGCAACACCACAACATAGAATGCCTATGCTCCCCATGACGATCGGATCCTGTCCAAAAATTGGTGTCGGATCAACCGGCCTCGTTGCTGCGTATGCAACGCTGCCACCAATACTGAGCAGAGAAGTTGGGATCAGAAAACCGCGCTCCATGTTCTTCCGTTTTCGACGGAGCGTAAAGTATTTGTCCCAGGTTAATTTGCCATCGGGCGTTCGGCTGGGTATAGTGGGGGGAGGAGAACTGTAACTGCGATTTGGTCGAAATAGAGGTGTTACGGCTAGATACAGTGAGGGAGTGTATAGGCGTCTTGGTGTTGTAAGAATTGACATTTTTTGACGAGATTTTTTTCGGTGAAAGATTTTTTTCATCTTTGTGATCGACTATGTCACGTGAAGGTTGCAATCGCATACTAAATACACAAACATTTGACGCGGATATTCGAGGGTTTAAAAATACATAATCCAGCTTGAACAGATCCATTCCTCGAACGTTACTGAAATAAGGCCAATTCACAACGCATTCTGTACCAACTTCCGATCTTGTTTATTTTGCTGAAAAACAATATATAACAATTTTTTTAAAAGCTGAGAATTATCCTTGAGTTTTAAAATTCCTTTCCTTCCAAACACAACTCATCCTAAAGCAACATAAATGAAATTACAATATAAGTTTAAGCAAAGGTATTCTTTTCAGATGTGTGCTAAAAATATACGCTAATTAATATCCTGAATATCAATGTCCATATTTTATAAGCCGTCATGTATACGTTCTCAAGTATAAAGGTAGCGAGTACGTCGGGCATGAATGGATAAAAAAGTCCAAGGTTTGAGTAGTAAAGTATTTCAAGAAAAACAAACGCGTATTTTATTATTAATAGCAAAGCGATGACGTGCTTATCAAGGAGCGCTTTACCCCTGATGACAGTATTACAATCAATAAGATATCAATGATTGTCCTTGTACTTGGGGAAGCAAGGAAAACACAACTTTAGCATCACACCATTATTTAATTAGGGGCATGCTGCAACAAAATATGAAACTAATTCACATTAAATCCATTATGAAACCCAAGAATTACAGCACTATTTGAAGTATTTTAAAAAAAGTTCAAGGTGAAAAAATGGCTCCCTATGTTTTTAAAATCAACAATACCCAAAATTTTCAGAAATATCTAGATTAAGAAAAAATTACTTATGAAATTTAAATTACTTCTTTACTTTTAATCGAGGTTATTTTTTAGTCTTTAATCTCAATCTGAGCAACTTGGCCATTTTGTTGTTCTTTTTTAATTTTTTATTTTCTTCTTTTAACTTAGCATTCTCTGCTTCTAATTCTTTAATCCACTTTATTCTTTCATCACCTCATTCTTTTGATTGTCATAAAATTTAACTACTTCTTTCTTTCAATGTTTAACTCTTCTTTGGTAGTAGATAGTTCTTTTCTAGTACTCTAATTTTGTTTTCTAAACGAGAACTAAATGACCTAAAAATCAGGTCTTCTTCAGAAACAAGTAAGTTGATTTGTCTGTTCTATCTGGCGCACTGTTGTTGGTTGTTCAGCTTTCAAACTGGTATTGTATATTGATATTGATGGTATAATGAAAGTGATGTACATAATTCAGAAATAGTTTCTTTAAGATGTGCTAATATCTTGCTTGTCATGATCTGTTAAGATTAAGGATAATAATGATGTGAGATAGGCTGTCAATGTCACAAAGATATTACAAGAGCAGCTTTATATCCCCAAACACAGTTGGATAATATAAAGCAAAAGGTAGATTCATGATAAAGTCATAATAAAGAAACTTTCTCTCCGCTGCTCCTACTCTACCTAACCCAAACGTATTGTATCTTGCTTGCAAATCCACTCGAGCTAGATATGCAACGTTTCCACTTCGCAACCAATACTACCCTACTCTCTTCTATGTATGAAACCCTATTACTCTCCATCTACTTTACCCTACATACATCCGAGTCACAAAGTCGTTACTTGGTTGAGTAAATTTCGTCAGCTTTTTCTGTAGAAATGCTACCCCCGAACACTATTTCAGTTTTCTTCATATTGTCTCTAACCCACTCAATCGAGTGTAATAACGCACGTAATATCCTGATCTGGATACGTGACTTGGCATAACTGCGGGAGAATATCACATTGCGACTGTTAGCGGTGTGTCAACTGAAAATGCAAAAATATTAGACATATTGGCACAAGATTTATACCTTTGGTAAGTGAATATAATCTGTAAATTACAAGATTCGTTCACCCCACTGCTTCTTCTCCGCCTCCAGACTCTCCACTTTCCTCTCCAAGTTCGCCAGCTCGCCATTCCACCTAGGCTGTGCTGTTCCACTCCTCAGTTCCTCCAATCTATCCAATTGCCCTTCAACTTCTTCTTCACGTCTTCTAATTCATGTTCGACTTTCTCATAAGTAGCCCGTTCGCGACGCGACAGAAATTTGCGCATGTTGATTACGCAAAAAAAGGTTTACTATAAAAAACGACAGAAATGAGCTACTTTACGAAAAAGCTTCGCGAACTGCTTTTACAAAAATCTATCCAACAGACTTTATCATTTTAAAATGTTTGCTCTCACAAGCGAATTAATTCTTGGATTACTGATCGAAATTATCCTTGGATATTCCCTTTATTGTAAAAAATTCCCTCATTATCCCTTAGTCTGTAGGCCAAATTTTGACGAATTTGCCCCTTTATTTTGTTATGCAATTTTAAGAATATGTTTG